ACTCTGCCAGACCACAGGCCAGTGTAGCCATCTGCCTCTGCCCAAGCAGTAATGCACGGTAGGAAGGAAGGAAGGAAGGAAGGAAGGAAGGAAGGAAGGAAGGAAGGAAGGAAGGATAAATACTGGCTATTCTTAGCCATGATGCCAACTGGCAAATGCAGCAAGCCACCAGAGCGCAGGAAGGAAAGCTTTCCCAAAGCCTGACCACTAAGGGAGGGCTCACCTCGCTTGCAAAAGGGATGGGCTGCTGTGGCATGCTAGGGCCAAGGAGAGGGGCTGCAATTCTAGTCTGGTATGTTTGTGCGAGGCACTAGCTGGGGTCTCGCCACAGCACGGCTCTACCCTGTCTAGGCTGGGGCTTTGTTAAGAGCTGGCCTTGAGCCAAGAGAAACCTTTTTTCAAAGGGGGAGAGAGAGGGGGCGGGAACAGCTCAGCTATTTCAGCACAAAATCCTCCTAGCAGGAAAGCAGAACTCGTTCCCCTGAGATGGGCTCGAAGAACATTTTTGCAGGAATAGCCAAGCAGAGAATATAAACAGAACTGCCCCAAACGAACCAAATAGGAAATGAAGTGGTGCTCCTGAGGGTGAGAGGGTGGCACAAAGAGAATTTAGCAGCAGGTTTGCATGGGGAGGAGGTGTCTGGCTCTGGAGCACGGAGACTTCATGGTGCCCTCCTCCAGCCCTGAGGGCTTCTAGCTTATAAAGAAACCTCCTGCTTTGGCAAAGGGCTGCAAGCGTCAGCAGCGGCTGCATTCGGCATTCCAAGGCTTATAAGGCAATTCCGAGGAGAGGGGGAATTGTCTGCAAGCCATCCAGTGTCAGCTTCATGAGCAGCCAAATCAACCCGAGAGGCACTTTCAGGTCAGGAATGATTCACACAGGGGGACAGCAAGATGGCCCTCCAAGCCCAGAAAGCAAGCCCAAGATACACTAATAGTGAACAAAGGAAATACTGAGAAAATTGCTGTGGATCCTAAGAGGCATTAGGTTCCTGAGCTTAACAACAAAGCAGACTTCATAGCATTTGCTCTGGCTGAAATTTCCTCAACCATTTTTTTTTGGGGGGGGGGATGTCTTTAAGTTAGTTTTGACTCCCAGCAACTACATAGGCAAGTCCATTATTTTTCTTAGCAACATTTTTCAGAAGTGGTTTGCTTTTGCCTTCTTCCTAGTGCAGAGAGACTGACTGGCTGAAAGTCACCCAGTGGCTTTGCACCTAAGGCAGGACTAGAACTCATAGTCTCCTGGTGCTTTTAACCACTACACCAAACTGACCCTCCATGCATCAATTACTGGCCTAAAAAGAGACAGCTGCAACTCCTGCATAAGAATGAGAAGCTGAGGCATTTAAAAGTACCCATCCCTAATGCTGTCCTGCTGAATTACAGCTGTATTGGTATTTGAATGGAAGATTCCCAGAACATGGTTCTCCACGATCTCAAACCTTGTTTTCAGCTCAGAAAAGTCTGCCATGCTGACTGGGAATACTGGGAGCTAGAGTCCCAGTATATCTGCTAGGGAGCTTACATAAGCAGAAAGAACTGGTATAAATTTAATAATCAATAAAATTAATGTCTTGAGAGTGCCAAGTTAGTAAGACCTTATTTGTGCTGTCTTGTGGATTCTCTGCCCATGTTCTCTAGCAGGAGAGATAATCTCTAGGTCTTCTTGTAGAATGTGTCAAAAAGATGAACCTGGAAAGTGTGGGCAGCTCCTAAATATTCCATCTTGGAGGTGCAGAAACTGAGCTTAGAGTGAGTGATCTCCAGAAAGATCTCTTGGAGAAGAGAAGCCATGCATCTTATTTTCAAGCCTACAGAACTCAATCAACTTTGCCTAAGTGGAAACCTCATGAATCTGCAAAAAGGAACCTAAAAAAAATCAGCTGGAAAGAAACAAGATTGATTAGGGACCAACAAATATCAGCTGCTAGTAATGTGACAAACAGAAACTGCCACCCTCTGGATCAACTAAATTACACATCTTGCCAACACATTTGGAACTGCAGGCAGAGGTATTCATATTACCACAATCCCTTCCTGTACTGCTATCTCCACCTAGCCACATGGCAAGAGCTATTGCCACAGACTCAAAAATAGAGTGTGGGAGCCTCAGCTAGTCTGCTATCAAGTAACAGCCCAAACGCTGAGGACCTTCTCATTACATCATGAGAGCAATCCAGACTGGCAGTTTCCTGAGGGAAGGGCCTGGCTTGGTTTGGTGATCAAAACATGAACACACAACTTGCTGTGAATAAGCGGTCATTTTAACTCACAAATGTTTGCAATCAAAATGATGAAGTAGCAGAGCAATCACAATGACCCAATATCCTCCAAAGTGTGTACAGTAGAAGGAGAAATGAAGAGTAGGACAGTTCTGTTAACAGGGCGTTAGATGATACTACTTACCCTGGAAATGGAGAGTGGCATATTGAAGTCCTTGCCACCCTGCAGTCTGAACCCCCATGGTGCTGGCCCATCCAGAAGAACCTTGTATGAGTCCATGTCACTCATTTCTAAGGAATTAGAAAATATTAACTTAATAGTTATGCAAGACAGAAAAATACAAACAGGACAACTGAACAAGAAACACGTACTACACAGAATGGGTGTTGTGCCAAAGAGTGAGCAAATGATGGCATGCTGCAGAGCAAGATCTTAGAATTTTGCTATTTTATGCAAACATCACTGCCTAATTGCTACATTATTAGACTTCTTCCATTTGCTCCAGAGCTACAGTGGGGCAAAAAGGTATTTAGTCAGCCACCAATTGTGCAAGTTCTCCCACTTAAAAAGATGAGAGAGGCCTG